AGAAGGTAATACCAAACAACTTCAGAAACAGTTTGTAAAATATCCATTACTACCACAATATATAAGAGTTCTTGTTATTCTATATTCTGGTGAAACTTTATTGGTGTTATTCTTTTAAACTGTAGCCATTTGGATGAGTTTGTGTAGTATCACATTGTGGTTTAAATTTTATAAAGTCTAATTAAATTGAATACCTTTTACTAAATGTATTGAAAGGCATACTCTTTAGTAAACTACCTATTCTAACACATTATTTCTTTCTGTTGGATTGACCATCTTTTTTAAGATCATACTCAGTAGATGAATAGAATAAGATCTTTGTTATACAAGATTATATGGCATGAACTACAAAAGACAAACATTGTAATCCTGATTTTAGTCTCTAGTTTCAACTCAATGAGGAAGTGATGCTAAATCATAACTAGTGTGGTTGAACTATCCCCATGTTAAAAAGATCTTAATTCTCCTCTTACTGTTCAAGTTGCTTTGGTTGGCCCAGAAATCCCTGCCTTTTTTTTTTTTCTGGTTCTTTCTTTACTAGAATGGGCAGACACCTAGTTTGCCTGAGAGACTCCTAATTTACATCTACAGTCCTTCCTCGTGCAATTATTAATATCTTCCCCTTTTCCTATTAAGAATTTGCTGGTTTACAAATGATTGTATGATCATTCTACTAATTATTTATGGGTTTTTGTTTTGTCAGTTGATCCCTAGAATGATACCCTGAGGCTGCTGCTCTATCCTGAATCCTAAGCATGTACTTATCTGACCTCAAGCGTCAGGGTTCTCTACCCTGGTACCGAATTCTTTCTTAGAGATCAGTATTCTGTATGTCCTGGTAACAAAAAGATTGTAAACCACTTCAAAGTAGATGCACTGAATCCTAACCACCATGTACATAAACGGTAACAGTCCTCGGGGGGATAGGCCAAAAACAACTTCCAGCATCCACATCTTGATGTGCACTCATTCTTCTGCTTGGGAATGTGATTCTTGCATTTTCTTATTCATCCTTCAAATCCCATCATATATGACATCACCTCTGACCTTAAATTGTTGTTTTGTGGCCATAGAATCTCAGGAGCCATAACAATCTAAGATTTTCATTTCCATTGAGATAAGTTATATATGAACCTGCCTTCGGCCTTTGCGTCATTCAGTTGCTAACAGTAAACTCATGTTTTAATGTTCATCCTGACTCAGAAATGGTGTCACTACCATCTATTCTTCAACAGTTCTAACAAAAGATCATATGTAATAAATTTTAACTTCCACGGAGCCTCCACTCGCTTATGCTCTCTCTCCACTGCATTCACCCAAAATTGTTTTGGCACAGATTTCCTCATTTTACCCCTGAAAGAATCACATTATAGTCATCACATTTTTGGAAGCATTCAAGTGAAGAAGGTAAAATTCTTGGCAGCAAGTGCCACCCCACACCAGCTCTAACCTGAACATTGCTCAGTTTATCTTGTCAATGGATTTAGTTAGTCTAACGCAAAATATATTATTCAGTACCTGTAACATTATTAAACCCTTACAAATAAAACAATTTTTCTCTAACCTAGTAATATAAGTACAGTGTCCGATCAATGGTATCTATGTCTGTATAGTAACTTTTTTCAGATTTAGCTTGCATCAGGACATAAACTACACCTTCCAAAATCAGTTCCAAGAAATACCTGTGACCTATAATAAAGTATTGCTGGAACCAGAGATGAGGGCAGGGAGTAGGAAGAATGTTCTTAGAGTTGAGGACAAGAGATATTGTTGTAACCTCTCCTGCCTGGGGTCATCTTCAGTGTACAGGGTGTACTGGATATCTAGTCCTCATTCATTCAACATATACTTTGGGAGAAAAATTACCCTGTTCTGTGTACTAGGGTAAGTACATGGGAATCAATAAGACAAATAACACACGTACTCTATTTTCAATGAGTTTACAATTCAAGAGGTCATAAACAGGTATTTTTAAGTTATGGTAATACATTGTGATAAATGTTACAGTAGGCATAAGTGTCAGGCAACCTGGGGCTGCAAAAAAATGATGTGGTTTCTACTGAAATTAAATAGAAAAGTCTTGACATAATAGCTAGTTGTTGAATTGGGTCCTTAAAAAATGAGTAGAAATGTAGTAGGCAGACAAAGCAAGAAACGAAATGCCAAGCAGAAGAAACAACATACCCAAGACAAAGAAACGTTCTTAAAAAAATAGACTGAAAAACCACATCATGCTAAACAAAGGCCTACAAGCTCATACTGTAGTTTAATCTGAGGAGTGCGTGGACAGATTATACATGTCATCATAAACCCCCATATTTTATTTTATATTACGTTCTTTTTCTTTACTGCTGTGGGACACATAATAAATTTGAGGCATCACCCCAAAAGACGTAATGTAAGCATAAGAGAGAACAAGGGACTGTGGTGAGTAAGTAACATTTTCCAGCTACACATTGGTGCAGTTGCAATCAGTAACTTACTTTCATTTCAAACATGTTCCATTTGAAAATGGATGGTGGCAAATGTGTAACTGGTTGAGATAACTTACTCCCTAAAAAATCCTGCCTAAAAAATAATCAAAGAATTAAAAAACCCAGGGCTAGAATCAGAAGATGAGAATTCCAGACACAGCTCTGGAGACAGGCCTTCTCCATTTACAAAATGAGGGTGGGGTCTACATGAGTATAGTGTTTATTGCTGCTCTAAACAATTTTACCTTTCCTAGGCCTTTTGATGGATAAATGATGGCAGCAGTTGGCAATATCTCAGGGATTAGGAGTAAATGCCAGTTATCAGACCAGGGACTGGGTCTTCAAGGTGGTCTTGTGGACACACAAACACAAAATATTGGAGAAAATGTTACTTTCATGAAGTTCTACTTTACATTAAGGCTGATGCATTTAGCTACTAACCCAGAGTAGTAGATATTTTAATATTAGGGATGTTAGGGTCAGCTTTCAAACCAAAGGGAATCTGGGGACAGCACAAGCTTCTCAATGTGCAAGGAGGGAAATTGAAAGGAGAAAGGAATCTTTCTGAGGTCATACAGCTGATAAGGCAAACACAGGATCAGAACCCAGAGTTCCACACTCACAATCCAGGATACCTGCATACTCCCGTCTAGTCTTCCACATGAATAGCTAAGAGTAACTATCCAGGATCTTAAGGCTGTCTTCTCTTAGAATGTCATTTCCAACAGCAGGCATGGTAGCATATTAAAGCAGAGGCAAGAAAATCTAGGAGAAGCTGAGATGATTAAAGAGTACCAACCATGTCAAGGCATGCTGTGCTGCTGTGCTGCACCATGTGCTTTAGGTGGACCAGTACTCTAATCTTCGTAACAAGTCAGTGAGTAGAAGGGGTTGGAAGGAGCATTTCTATGCCTCATTTTCTCTCTTCACCCTCAGTATAACTATAATTGTTAACAATTATTGAGCAATCACTACTTTCCAGGCACTGCAGTGACATTTATAATCTCTAATCCTAAGGTACAGAAACAAGCAGGTAGAAGTTAAGTAACTTGCTATATTAGCTTCCTTAGCATAGTAGACTCCGAATTCCTTGACACAACAAAATATCAAAACTGAGTGACTTCAAACAATAGACATTTATTGTTTCTCAATTCTGAAGGCTGAAAGAATGAAACCAAGGTGTCTGCAGGGCAATGCTTTTCCCTGTGTCTTCCATCTGCTGATATGTGCCAGCAGTACACATTTTGGCTCCCTTGACAGGCAAATGTTTCACTCTAGTCACATGGCTGCCTTTCTGTGTGTGTCTTCACATCTTTTTCCTCTGTGCATATTTGTCTCTGTGTCCAAAATTCACCTTAATAATAGACACCTGTTATGCTAGGTCTCACATTAGGGTTCACCTAATTACTTCATTTTAGATCAACTACCTCTGTAAAGGCCCTATTTTCAAATGAAGTCTGTTAACCTCTTTGGTGAGAATCCTTTACCGAAGGTAGAGGCAAGCCTTACCACTAGCCTCAGTACATAAAGCTACCCAGTGTAAAATCGATAATGTAATCCAATATGTCTCACTTGGAAAGATGCTTTAAAACTATAACTTTTGGAAGGCTCATGATTATTTTAACAAGTTACACTACAGATCTGGAAGGGAAGGGAGGAGGTCTGATTCTTTAGTCCACAGTTCTCACTCATTCCAGAGTTCCTCAATCTTAATGACCTTTTCTTATACTTCTCATGTTTCATAACCTAAAGGCAGATACAAAATGCTATTTCTCTATGTCTGTGTTTTTGAACACCATCCTGAGTTCCTTGAAAGAAATCTATAAGTTTCTCATAAATTGAATGTATTAATAAAAATATAAATAGAGGCTGGCCATGATCTGAGCTACACCAAACTAAGTGATGAGTGACACTAATGGCTGTCCTCAGAGAAGAATATACCAGTGAGATAGTAAAGCATGATGTTTATCATTGAACTTCAGGATAGGATTGCCGGGGCTTATACCCCTACTAGTTTAATTATAGGATATGTGAGTTAAGGCAATTAATTAACCTAGTGCCTTAGTTTTTTTCATATGTCGAATATCCGTAACAGTAGTATCCAATTTAGAGAACTTGAAAGGATTAAAAAGGTAACTCATTTAGAAGTATTCACTTCCTAGTGCATTATAATGGCTCAATAATTTTGAACACTTATCATTAATCTGAGTGTGAGGAGATGAAATTTGAAATAGTTAAGATTTTTTTTCTCTCATTCTATTTCTAGCTACCTCCATCCTTACAAAACACAAGATGCATAGCCAGACACACACAGAGAAACACACACAGAATTTTTGCTGTGCTTATTTAAGGGTGAGATTTCTCTTCCCTACCATCTTCATCACCATATCTAACTCTATTAGTAATTTGGGCTGGAATTAGTAATTTAGCTATTATAGAAGGAAATAAGTGAGTAGTATGAAAAACCATGAGACATCCTGGGTTACATAAAGTTCTCTATTAAAATTTTGACCAGAGCCCGTGAGTATGGCCTTGGTGGACACCATCTGCTCTAGGCAGGCTGTGGGCTTTGCTGCCACAAAAGTGAAGATTAAGTGCTGGAAAGGTGTGGCCACTTGGCTCTGGGTGGCCAATGATGAGAACTGTGGCATCTGCAGGGTAGCATTTAACTGCTGCTGCCCTGACTGCAATGACTGCCTGCTGGTGTGGGGCCAGTGCTCCCACTGCTTCCACATGCACTGCATCCTCAAGTGGCTTCACGCACAGCAGGTGCAGCAGCACTGCCCAAGTGCCTACAGGAGTGGCAGTTCAAGGAGTGAGGGCCCTGCCTTGCCCTTGCTGGAGGTGGCATCCTGAGACCTCTCCTCACGCTGGTGCCGATGGCTGCGGTTCCCTGCTGGGGACGGTTTCCTTGGGTTGCAACAAGGTGGAAACAAGGGCTGGAGCTGCGTTTGTTTTTCCATCACGATGTTGACACTTTTACCCAATAAGTAAAACTCATTAAACTACTCAAATCCTAGAAAAAAAAAATGACCAGAAAGTGCCATTCTAAGATGTGGGATGAATACCTAGTTTTGTTTTTTTTTTTTTTAACTGATACTTTTATTTCCTCTGTGACTATTATGTCTTTATATAATACATTCTTGCTCTAGCCACAAGGATCTTCTTTGTGCCTTGAAGTGTCTTTATTACAATCATTCATTGTAGCAGTTTATGCCACTGCTATTACTACACTACCTAGATAAAATTCTCTGGAAAACTCGAGACTCATATGTACAAATAAGAAAAATAATATGAAACAAAAATGAGAATATAGGTCATATGTTTTCAACAAGTCTCACCTAAATCCCTGAGATCACTAATTTATTCAGTTGGCTTGCTTTAAGTCTCAGTTCAAAATCATTATATGAAAACTGTAATTGACATTACTATTAATTTTACTGTGTATTTTGTTTCTATTACTTGCTTAATTCCTGAAGAATAAAACCTCTAACAAAATAGTACTGGCCCAGCACATTCTGATGATAGCAAAAGACAATGGAATGGCCAAAATGGAACTTAATAGAAGACTCAGGGTAGACTAAGCCTGAGAGCCACCCTCTTCAAACCTCCCTTGTCATTCAAATGTGACTAAGTTTGACACTGACTCCTAGGTCCCAGTCACTCCCCCAAATTGAGACGGGATCAACAATTGGAGCAGGTTCATCCTGGCACTGAGGAACGTCAAAACCAAACTAGAAGATGACTGGGCAGTGATGCTTTTGCAGAAAGAGCTTGATTTAAAAGAAGAAATGGGCCATATGCAGCAGCTCAAGCCTGTAATAACAGGACTTTGGGAGGCTGAGGGTGTTGGATCACTTGAAGGCAGGGGTTCGAGACCAGCTAGCCAACATGGTAAAACCATGTCTCTACTAAAAATACAAAAATTAGCCTGGAGTGATGGTGCATACCTGTTGTCCCAGCTACTCAGGAGACTGAGGCAGGAGAATGGTTTGAATCCAGGAGGTGGAGGTTGCAGTGAGCAGAGAATGTGCCACTGCACTCCAGCCTGGATGATGGAATGAGACTGTCTCAAAAAAAGGGGGGAGGGAGATGTAAAAATTTTCAGAATGAAGATAAAGTCACTAATGTCAAAAAAGACAAGAAAACCTGACAAATAGGATAGAGCCAGAAAATGCCATGAAGAGAGGATTGTCAGGCTTCCGTAACAAAACTATCACAAACGACTCTTTAAATGCCATACCCTTGCACAAAGGCCATCACAATCTCGCACAAAAAATACTCCTGCAAATACATCTGTCCAGGAACTGCCTGTCCAACCTCGAACTAGCATCACCCTTGTTATCGATCTTTGTAGCCAAGGATATTTCTTTCAAAACAATTATGTAATACCCCTTATTTTTTCCCTTTAAAAACCATTGTTTTATTCTTCCTGAATAGAAACATGATTTACTAAATCTGTTCCCTTTTTCTTTTAGACAGTTTTTCTCTATTTGTTATTTAGGTTGAAAGATAAATATTACTCATTTAATTTACAGCTGAGGAAATAAGACTCAGAGAATTTATGCAACTTGCACCAAATCACACTCCAGGTAGGAAGTGGAGTAAGAAATAAAAGTGAAATCCATATGAAACCACAGTTCATATTCTTGGCACTGTTCCACAGTGTTTCAACTGGACCATTAAATAATACATGAATACAGGATGCTTAGGCCTTAGAGAGAGCGTTACCATCATGAAAGCAGTTAGATTCATTAAAAAAAATAGCGATTTGGCAATTGGACTGCCTGGGTTCTAGTAACTGGCTATTTTTATGACTTAAGGTAACATAGTTAGCCATGTCTCAATTTTATTTTACATCAAATGGAGGTAATGATACCTACCATATCAGATAAACATGAAGATTAAATGACATATATGATACAGATGATTATGTAATACACACATATGTGTGTGTGTATATATATATATATATATATCTGTGTTAAATTTAAAAACACAAATGGTAGATATAATCTCTTTAGCTCTACAAATAAATCAGACTATTTACCAAATATTTAGAGAAAATTCTAAGTTTAATAACACAAACAACTTGCTAAACTACTCTTACTTCTCACATAATGAAAATGACTATGTCATCTTTCATACTTTTATATTAAAATAACTTAATGAAACTACAGAAAAAGATAAACTTTTTCTGAATACTCGTTGTCTTTAATATAAGCCAAATATCAAAAACATTTATACCTTCAGTGTCCTTTCAAAAAAAATTGCAATCTAACTGTGTAAACATAGCTGACAACAAAAAGTTGGCATTGGGGTTTCCCTAAGTGGTTTATCTGAAACAGCCTAGAGATAAGCAATAAAAAATCACTGTGTTTTACTGAGATAAATACAGAAGATTTCCTAATCCATTGGACATAAGTTTGAGATTATCAGAGTTTATGTTCTGCCATGAGAAATTAAAATGATAAAATTTGTTTTGTGTAAGGTTTTAATAGATGATTAGATTATCATGCACATCATTTTTAACTCCGCAACTGAGTCCTGAACAGAATTTACTTAAAAGAGTAGTTTGCATTTCATTGGGAAAAGATAATTTCAGTGCTATGGTTTGTATAAGTACCTTTCCAAGTTCAGGTGTTTCAAAGTGATTGTATTTAGAGGTGTGGTGTTTGGGAGATGGTTGGGTCATGAGGAGGGCTCTGCCATCATGAAAGAGATTAGGTGCCCCTACAACAAAAGCTGGGCAGATTTTACCTTCTGCCTCCCACCACATGAGGATACAGCTTTCCTCCCAGTGGGAGGATGCTGCATCAAGGCACCGCCTTGAAAGTGAAGAGCAGCCTTCACCACACACTGGTCCCTTGACCTCGGACTTCCCAGCTTCCAGAACTGTGAGAAATAGATTCCTTTTCTTTATAAATTCCCCACTCTGTGTTATTTAGTTCATAGTAGTGCAAAGTAAGGCATCTATCATGTTAATAGGAGGGAAAAGGTAGAGTAATTGTTACAGGCATTTTGGAATTATTTTTCCTGAGTAACTATTTGAACTACTGAGAGAAGATTGACAGAAAGTCTACACCAATGCACCTTTGGTGTCAGTGATCAAAAGAAGTTGAAATTCCACTGAACACATTATTTTATCCAACAAGGTTAAAACTAAACCCAAAGGACTGCTATTTTTGACTAAGGAGAAATTTTTCAGGAGGCAATTGTTTAAATGTATATGTCCCTCTGAGCACATGACACTTCCATTTAACCCCATCTGCAGAATATTTTTACCTGAACTGGTTCTATAGAATTTTGTATCTATTTTTGTTATTTGAAATGATGACCATTCCAGGTGAAGTATGGTGTATCCACTATATAGAAAGACAAGGAAGAAAATAATGTCTATAGCTACTAAGGCATTACTGATATTTTCTGAGAATGCAAAACTAACAAAGGTTGATGCATTCACAGCTTATAAACTACGTACACTTTTATAGACCCATTGAAGACAAACACAATTAATTATAATACTTGTTGCAACATTTTTGAGGGGGTAATGGATAGATTATTTTCATTTGCTAAACTCATTCTGCTTAAAATATTATTTTGAGAAAATACTGGTTTCACAAATGTGAACTCATTAGCCAAGTTCAGGCACCGACCCACACATTTACCTTTATTCCCTGATTACCTTTTCCCACTGATCTTGACATTTTCTGTTGCTCTAGTAATTTTGACTGTGTCAAGAATGTATGCTGGAAAAGAAACTCTGAATTAAAAGTATGGAAACGTGATTGAAGCAGTTACACTATTCTCCTTTCTACCCCTTTTTGACTTTATCCATATATTAAAACTTTTAAAGTCAGCTTTTACAGAATGGATGGTGCAGTCTAAAATTTTATGTTTCAGAACCCAGGGATATAGAATAATGCAAAGGGAGCAAGAGAAAGGGTCAACAGTTTTGGTTTTCAGTTGGAATATACAGAGGGAGAGAATCATTTCCAAATGGTCTGTAAAGGTCTACAGGTCAAAACTGAGAAAATTTTCAGCTCATTTCCCACTCCAAAATTCCATGAAATATATATCTATTGCATCAAAGAAGAAGTTGCTCCAAGTTGATTTTTGAATTAAGCCTTTCTTATAAATGCTATATATTAAACATGTTCTAAATGCACTTTATTTATTTGTTTATTGGAGACAGGCTCTTGCTCTGTCACTCAGGCTGGAATGCAGCAGCATAATCATAGCTCATTGCAGCCTGGAAGATCTGGACTCAAGTGTTCCTCCCACCTCAGTCTCTTGAGTCACTGGGATTACTGATATGAGCCACTGCATGAGGACTAGTTTACATTTCTGTGTTCAGAATGTTAACCATAGATGACTAGAGGCAGAGTAGTCCCCACAATACAGACTACATAGCCTTAGGTGGGCACTTAAACACTGGTTTGTTGTCTCCAAGAGATGAAGGCCATTTAAATTTGAATATTACTTTTCATGCCATTTCAGATTTTTAGAATCCATTAGAAAGCAATTAATTAAATGCTCGGACACCAATGAGGCATCAATCACGTTCATTGTACCTCACAAAACTACAGCCCATAATAAACGGACAGCTTGTTTATTTCCCCAACCTGGTTTGCACAAGTCTTACAATTCTATAAGCAATCTTGATCCATATAATCACTATGTGACTGCTATTCTCATGAACACTCCTGAAATTTTGATTTTCATCTAGCACAGATATTCAGTAAAAGCTAAGTGGAAAGTTCATATTTCAATTCTGATCTGTAAAATTTTCCTGGTACAAAAGTACAGCAGGTACGGA